AAGAGCAATCTTTTTGTTTGTGACAAAGTGTGGCAAGACACATGTGCTGAGGTGGACATGTCATCCCTTGACCAAACCAACCCCTTTGTTGAAACACTTTTCCAGGAACCTGATGTTTTTTTTGCTGAAAGGGTTGTCGCAAACCCTCGATTTTTGCAAAAATAGAGGGTCTACTTTTGATGGATGGAACAGCGAAAAGCACCGCTATTTGCAGGGTTTCGTGAGGTTTCAGCTAGCTTGTCCCTTCATGGCCGCGGCAGTATGTCGGTTCGGGGCGTTGTTGTTGTTGTTGTTGTTGTTGTTGTTGTTGTTGTTGTTGTTGTTGTTGTTGTTGTTGTTGTTGTTGTTGTTGTTGTTGTTGTTGTTGTTGTTGTTGTTGTTGTTGTTGTTGTTGTTGTTGTTGTTGTTGTTGTTGTTGTTGTTGTTGTTGTTGTTGTTGTTGTTGTTGTTGTTGTCGTCGTCGTCGTCGTCGTCGTCGTCGTTGTTGTTGTTGTGGCGGTCGTCGTCGTCGTCGTCGTCGTCGTCGTCGTCGTCGTCGTCGTCGTCGTCGTCGTCGTCGTTGTGACTATGGTGTTTTTTGGGTGTTTTTCCCCAACAGCTGAAAGCTTTGGCGTCTCAGCCCAGATTGGCTCCGGGGTGGTCCGGTCCCACAAGGGTTCCACCAGCTTGTGCAAGGGCTGCGGGGTGGTCCGGGGTGGTTTGAGGCAAGGTTCCAGGAGGTTCTGCAAGAGCTGCGGGCCCTGAGGTAAGGTTCCACAAACAAGGGTTCCACCGGAGTTCCGCAGGGTTGTGGGGTGGTTTGAGGCATCGACTAAGGCCCGATGGTCCCAGGCTCCCAGCAAGCCCAGCCACCCATACAGCTCAACGCCGATTTTCCTTAGGATGCGGCCTTACAACTGTATCTAGCAAAACTAGGCGATGCCAGCTTGGTACAGCTGACGGACGGTGTAATCGGCCCACGCAATCGGGGCCCCATCGGGCCGACAGGGCCCCGATCAGGCCCCGATGGTGCAATCAAACCCCGACAGTGCAATCGGGCCCGACCGGCCCTGTGAGCCTTGGAAACCGTCCTCGTGGCACGCTTGTGGAACTCAGAGTGAAACCTTTCCTCAGGGCTGCCGCGTGGCTTTTGCAGAACTTGGTGGAAACCTTGTGGAGCATTGTGAAACCCTTCTGAAACAAGAAGGCGCCGTGGCAAGTATCCACACCCACGTCCGGGTGCTTGCGGCGCATCTCAGCGGCAAGCTGGCCCGTGGGCAGCGCGAACAGGATCCGAGCGCCGCGCGCCTGCCAGCGCCGGATGCAGCGATTGAGGACCAGAGTCTTCCCCGTGCCCGTCGGGCCCTACCCATTGCCAATGCAGCCTCGTGGAGCCCTTGGAACCCAAAGCCCACCAAGTAATACTAAGTAATGCCAATCATTTACTCTGCTGCGCGCGCCAGCCTGATCTGATGGGCCACAAAGTCAAATCCTTTCGGGCCGCGTTGTCTGAGCACGTGCGCGTGAGCAAGCCTATACAGTGAAAGTGTGCTGAAAACCATTGATTTCGGTTTTGCTCAGTGTTCCGCGCATGATGTCCTGAGCCCTCAGCTTCCCTCCACGGCAACCCACGGAGCCCTTGTCCAACCCTGCGGAAAGCTTGTGGAACCTTGTGCCTCGCGGTGAAACGCTTGTGAAAGGCTTGAAGAGATTCAAGCAACTCCGGTGGTCATCGACTCAGGCGCGGACATTTCAGTTATGCCTTTGGAATTTGCTTTCATGGGTACCAATTGCAGCATGGCAGAAGATGTTGTTGTCCAAGATGCGTCTGGTAATGACATGGGAAAGCACGGCATGCGAGAGATTGAGTTGGACGTGGTAGACAGTCATGGAAATACTGTGCAGTTGTGGAACCTTACCTCAGGACCGCTCGTGGAACCTTACCTCAGGACCGCGCCGGACCACCTCGGAGCCTATTTGACGCTGACCCAAAAAGAAGAAAAACCAAGCGTTCTCTGCCCAGATAGGCTGCAAATTAGTCTGAGGCAGCTCTGAGGTAAGGCTCCGCAGGGTTCCGCGAGAATGCTGCGAGAGTTCTGCAAAAGCTCCACGAAGGTTCCGAGGTCCAGGGCGATTCCGGAGGGTTCTGGGAGGGTGCGGTGCTGTTGGGGATGTCGCCTGAGCTTATTTTTTGTGGTGGTGGTGGTGGTGGTGGTGGTGGTGGTGGTGGTGGTGGTGGTGGTGGTGGTGGTGGTGGTGGTGGTGGTGGCCGTGGTCGTGGGCGGTGCTGTTGTGGGTATTGATCTTCTTCTTCTTCTTCTGCTTCTTCTTCTTCTTCTTCTTCGTGTTCTTTTTGTTGTTCGTGTTGTTTTGTTGTTTTTGTTGTTCTTCTTGCTCTTGTTGTTGCTGTAGTTCTTGTTTTCTTGCTTTTTGTTGCTTTTGTCTTTCTTGTTGTGGTTGCTCTCATTCTGGTTCTTCTTGTTCTTCTTATTTCTTTTCCTCCTTTTGCTCCTTCTTGTCTGGAAGCAGACACCTTACCCGATCAAGCCTTGTCCTTAGCAGGGCTGTTTTGGTGCTTGACGGTTCTACGCACCTCGGAAAAAACAGGGTATGGTCTACTTCTCAGTTTGCCAGATGCATCAACCTGGAGATCTTGAGGCACTTTACTTTTGGTGTTGTTGGTGGGGGGCCGGCATGCAAAAAAAAGAGAATTGGCTGCAACCTTACCCCTTGCCCCCCCCCACCGGGGCAGAGGCCTACCTGCAAGCCTGGCGCGCCGAGCAGCTCCGGGAGCCCGTGGCGCCGCTTCCCGCAGGCGTCGCTTCGCATGAGAGGGCATGATCGGTGGGCGTGGATGTGGATGGTTTGGTTTGGGTGGGTTCGGATCAGTGTGGCTAAGTTAGGTGTTGGATGATTCATTGGCGGCATGAGTTGGGGGATTGTAGTTATTGCTTGATTTGCTTTGGTTATATTTTGATGAATTTGTTGCTTGGTGGGCTGGTGTTGGTTTTGTTTGCTTGGCTAGTTTGGGTTGTCAGGTCGGTCGGTCGGTGTGTTACTTGGTGGGTGCCCTTTTCGTTCCAATCTGGTTTTGCAGCAGGGTTGGCACATGGCTTGAAACTTACATTGGAGATGTCACAACGTGGACCCTGGTCTTAGCACCAGTCGCGAGACAGCCACGGTTGGATGGTAGGGTTTTCCCTTTGACATCAACTGCTCAACATCATGTGCGTCTTTGAACGGCCAAACGCGGAATCCTTACAGCCACACGGATTCTGGAGGCGTGAAGAGCCTTCCCGAGCTGGGCAATGAGCCTGGAGTCTTCCAGCTGAACTTCCTCTACGCCTCACCGTTGCTTTGTGGTGCCTCGTCTGAAGCCCCCACAAGATATATTCTGTGAGACTGTGAGATGCACCCTAGTCAATTTGCAGCAAGTTTGCAGCAAGAGTTTGGACAACATAATTATCTCACGTGACTGGTTCTGACCACCGGCAGAATCCGAGCCAGTGCCTTGCCTATCGGCGGTTCAGCCGTGGGCCGCTCGGGATGCGGTGAGAGCATGGCTTTGGTGGCCGTGAGATCTGCTTCTCTTCTTGTGGGAGGGCCTGCGGTGGCAATTGTTTTTGTTGAGGTCGGAGTACTCTGCGGGCCTTGCAAAGTGGTTGTAGTGGGAAGACGAGTTGGCATGCAGGCCGCGGTGGCTGAAGTGCGGTTTGCAGAGGCTGTCGTGGCTGTCGCAGTGCCTCCAGTACGCACGCAAGCGTCACATGGGTGGCACAGAAAAGTGCGTAGCTTCGTGACAAAGCAGACTGGCTTTCGATGCCCTCGCTTATTTTTTCCTCGCCGCGCTCTTGTACAAGTCTGTCAGCCCTTTGTACAAGTTATAGTCATTGTTGCTGGACAGAGGAACGCTTAACTTTCTGCCACAGCCAAAGCAGGCTGCGGCTCATACGAACTCCAATCAAGCCCAGGGGCACTTTGTGTTTCAAGGACGTTGCGGGGGACACGCTCTTTTTTTTTGAATAGCGCGATATCAAGTCAGCGTCGGGTCACAGGTTCTGACACCTCGCGTGTCTCTTACCTCGCCGAGGCTCTCAGCCTTTGCAGGCACTGGACATCATGTCAGAGGTGCAGGTGGGGCGCTGTGATTTAGCTGAAGTCCGCGTTCTTATCTATCATGGAAAGGAATGGTCTGTCCCGCAAGGATTTGGTGTGCTTGACTGCTAGGCCTTGCAGGGCGTTGCCGGCATCTCGCCCGATGTGGATGTGGCCACCTTTGCCAACCTGCAGGCCAGCTTGCGAGCGTTGAGTTGGTGATGGCTTGGGCGATTGCCTCGCTGAGCAGAAACGATGTGGCATTTGTGATACCTCTGTTGCGGTTGTGTGCGGAAAGCCTTGTGAGACGGATTCTTTGGGAACTGCCAGGAGCGGCTGCTGCGGCCGCTCAAAGGTCCTACGGTTCTCCACCTCTCGGCACACGTGGCCACGGCAGCCTGCGCCCTGACGGCTACGCACGTGACGAAGCCACAGCTGCTGCTGGAGGAGCGAGGTCACGGGGATCAATTCCACAAATACCTCTACTTGGATGGCTACAGGGATGGGTGAGTAAGCCATCCCTTTTCGGATGGTTACATAAGTGGAACTCCTTGGGCGACTTCAGAAAAGGGGGGCTCACAATGCAGGCGAATTGCTCGCCAGGATCCTCGGGGCCTGGCGCATCCGCTGAGCGAGGAGGCCTTGGCCAGCATGGCGTCCTGGAAGGCGAGCGAGAGCGTTGCCAAACCGACCACAGAGCTCCGCGGGGAGATCAGAACACGATGGATTTGGTCCAAAACCCGCGAAGTTGTCTTTATCTAGACTGGACTTCTTGGGGACTCACCAAGTTTCCACACAAAGACCAGGGGACTCACCAAGTTAATTTCCCATGTCCTCTTGGGGAGAATTGCGTGTTGCACATGGAGCCTGAGGCTTGGGCTTCCTCCGGGTCCTTTCTGGTGCGAAACTTGGGGACTCCTTGAACCATTCGGCTGGCTTCCTCCGAAAACACCGACGTTTGTTGGGAGCAGATCGACACACATAATCACATAGTCACAGAATACATATATATATATATATGAATAGATAAGTACGTAAACAAGTATACATATAAATCATACAAATGTACACGTATCGAAATCAATACCAACGCCACTTTTGTGGCCTTCGCTGGGGTGGGTTTTCAGGCGGCGGAATACCAGCCGAGCACCGCCAGCTGGCTGCTGGTCTTCCTCGCCTGCGGCTCTGAGCGTCTGGTGCAGCACCTGCTTCTCGGATCGCATCGAAGTGCCGGTCTGTCGGTGCAGGGTGTGTCTCTTTTCAAGGGACCCCCCAAAAATGGTGGTTGCCCTTTTTGGTCTCCCAGAAAGACACATATCAACCAAACAATACCCTCAAAAGGCAAATTTATATGGACACCATGGTATAGTAATATCCCGCATGATATTGTGCCTGTGTATGCCTGTTTTGAGATTGTCCCTGTAAGATCAACCACACACGGCGAGCCGCGCGGTTTATGGCGACGAGGGGCGAGGTCGTTTGGGCGGAACGACTTCCTTGCCCAGGGCAGTCTTTGTTTTCCCGCCGATTGGGCCTTGGACGCACAGTTCTGATTCCCCGTTTTCTACTTTCTGGGTTCGACTCGATCATGGCATTGCAGTGGCACTTGCAAAAGTTCTGCAGCTGCGTTGGAATACAGAGTTTGGTCTGTGTTTTTCTGAAAGGGTTTCAGCCAATTTTGAACTTACGCAGAGATGCAGGGCAATTTTTTGGGAATGCGTTAAACACACACACACAGAGTAAATTGCGGCTTACATGATGGATGACGCACAAAAAACATAAACGCTTGTCCAAATGACGCGGGGCAGTTTGCCAAGCCAAAAAGCAACACCTTGCTGGGAACGTGTCAGAACACCATCCTGAAAAGGTCCGATTCGGCTTGGCTTGATCCGCTTGGGTGTCTGTGTGTTCACGAGAGTGGCAGAGCTTTCTTTTCCACACGGCTGGTTTCTTGTCTGTCCTTGCACAGCAATCCGAGCGGGTGACGCAAATTCGGCCCTTGCCGTTGAGATCGACGTAGCGGTGGCCCTCAGTCTTCGGGGTTCAAATGGGATGACGACTCAGCCCTCGTGCAGCTTGCGATGGTCTTGCACCAGGAGGTTTCCAAACGTCCATTTGCCAGCTTACATGCCAGGCAGAAAGTAGAGTTGGGCAACATCTGAGTTTGTCCTCCAGTTCCACGTTGGCTGTAGCGTAAACTTAGGCTTCGCCTGGATGTTTTCTTGGGTAAGCATTTGTTCCCCAAACTTCCAAACCGTGGGATGCGCCCAGGATGCGCACGGCGGGCCTGCGGGAGGCGATTTGCTGCAGGGGCCAGGTGTTCGACTCCGCTGCCCGGGTCTTCTGCAAGGCCGGTGAAGATTAGATCTTCGTTTGGCAAGTGCCAAGTGGAAGGGTTGGCACTTTTCAATGCCACACGAAGGGATGTGGTTTGGAGCAGTTGATGCTTCGGTCCCTCAGGAGCCTTGTAGCCTTCTTTGACGGAACCCTCGTGCGGAGGTTCTGGAGGTCCATTCTTGGATAAGCGGCAGAACGTCGTTGTTCTCTTTGTAGCTAGCTTCTATTCCCAGTTTAGTCATGATCCATGGCAATGTGGCTGTGTGAGGTGTAAGCTAGGAACCCTCCAAATCACTTGGTATCATACTTGTTGTTTTCAACATGAGCCAACAAGGGGTCCAAGCAGTTCTGACAGACTCACACACACACATACGCATGCACATGCACAGACACCGACACAGAGACACAGAGAGACAACGAGACAGAGACGGAGAGACGCAGAGACACACAGACACAGAGACGCAAAGACACAGACACAAAGAGACACAGAGAGACAGCAGGACACAGAGACGCAGAGACGCAGAGAAACAGAGCAAAGGAGAGACAGGGACGCAGAGACACAGAGACGCCGAGACGCAGAGACGCACAGACACAGAGACACAGAGAGACAGAGACACACATTTTTCCCATATCTGTTTCCTCCTAAGAAATCCTTCCCGCTTCTCCCCATGCATGGGTTTTGTCCCCCTTTGAGAGGGTTCTCCTGCTCTCCTTCCCGGCGTGTTGTTGCTTGGAGGCCTTCTACCAGGCCCTGGCGGCGCGGTGCGATGTGGCTGAGAGCCATCAGGTGGCCCAGGCCTGGAAAGGTAGCAACTCGCTTCGTTTGAGGTTTGAGGCTTTGATCAATGATGGGATGGAAGGGATGGATTCACGTTTGGAAGGAAGGGATGCGCTTTGAACACCGGTGTGAATTCCCATTTTCGAAAGCCAGTGGTTTGCTGGCTTTGGAGCGAGGCGGCAGTGCGAAACAGCGCCAGCCTGGGCTTGCAGGGGGAGGCTGACGCCTGGATTCATTGGGCGTCGTGCAATCAAATGGTTGCCCTTGGCTGTGCGCCATGGCCATGCACTTGGGTCCGGATGGCCGTAAAGCCTTGAAGTCTTGAAAGGGGATTTGAGACAATCTGAAAGAGTCTTTGGAGGGAGCATGAACCCGGACTGTTTTCAGTTCGTACTTTTTTTGTGCTCATTGCGATCAAAGGGTATTTTCAGAATTTGAAATTTGGATGATCAGGAGTTAAGATCACATCTTTGAGGATCACCGAAATGGGCGACAGGACCAGCACTTGGTTCTCCAATAGACATATTTTGTATTTTAGGGACAACATATGGAACAGAATCAATACATATTGCTTTGTGTGCCAGACGTGCTGTTTTCGAGGAAAGAGCTCATGCATGTTTCAATGAGTCGATGTTTCATGGCTTTGTGGCTTTGCGCAGCTTTAATGCACGGTTTGGGATGTTTGTGATGACGTGCAGCGCCATTCTGAAAGAGCAAGACACGCAAGGGCGTATTGCTGTTGTATAAGTGTGCTAGCTTCAATCAACAACGAGCTGCAGGGTCCTGGGTCATTAGACCAATGGACACGCTTTGCTGCTCTTCGAGTGTGTAGCCAGGCTTCCCCGCATGTACTCTCGGGAGGGCTTGCTTGAAATCGCACCAAAACCTCCAGGCTCGCTCCCGCAGAAATTGACATGTTTGATGAGTTTAGCGAGCGGCTCCATTCCCTCCCTGCCCCTTTTCCGTCCTCAGGGAGAACCTCCGCTCTATCCTTTGTCTCCAAGGGCCCGGCAATGCTATCTGAGGACAAGTTCCTGTATCTGCGAAGCGGCGCAGAGCCACTTCCCCGGCCGGCGGCGTCTTGGCAAGAGAACGGACAGAAATTGTTTGGGATACCAGCTTGGATGTGAGGGAGATGTCGGGAATTCATCCATTTCTTCCCTGTTTCTTTGGGATGTGTCTGCGCTTCAAGATGCTTCAGCAAGTCCAACCGGAAATCGATCTATCCCTTGCGCCAAAGCGTGGTTTCGAAGGCGGAAGGCTTGGGCAATGTGGCGAAGTGGCCTTCATGGCGTCCATGGCCAAGGGTGGAGGACTCGGCGCTTTGAGTCTTGACTTGTGGAGGGCACGGCTTCAGCTCTTCGGTTTGTCATGTTTTTCTTTTTCAATAAACATTAAAAACACAAGAAACTTGAGCCGTTCAGAACGCGGCTCTTAGTTGTTTTGTTGTAACAGCAACCGGGGGCCAGCGTAGTTCCCTAGCCTTGTCAGCCTGGCTGTCTGAAGACTGTCTGGACGAGCTTTGATTGAAAGGAAAGTTCTACCAGTTGAACGGAAGCAAACGTTTTGAATTGAATGTTGTTTTTTGGCGAACCGGGTCGGGATGGATTGAAAGAGACGCCGGACATCTGCAGGACTACGCGGTGTGTCGCCTGCTGGACAGCTGTCGCATCGCGGCTGCCTTCCAGTCAGATGCTTCGCACCGGAGACGCGTGGTGCAAATCTTGGGGGCCGCTTGGATGCGATTGCTGGGATGCCGGGGACCACTCACAAGATCGCCTGCCGGCAGAGTCCGAGCTGCCAGTGTGGGGCTTGATGGAGTCAGTGAGGACATGGGCATGGGCAAATCCGCGATGTGCCGGGAGTTCTGTGGCTACTTCTCATCACCTGGACGGATGTTTGCCAATCGCGCGTTCCTGGTCGACGAGGCCGGTATGCCATCGGGCCGCGGCACTTCGCTTCCGTAGGTCGGTCAGGTCGGTTTGGCTTTTCAAAAGGGTGCCAAGAAACTGAGCATGTTGGTCCACACCCTTTTTTGACGTGCCGCAATTTGAGGCAGTTTGGCACACGTGTGTACGCTGTTCCGTGGGCTCTGAGGCATCGTTCAAGTCCTTCCAGGCCAATGGCAATGACGAGGAGCTGGTTGCCACGGCCATTTTGCAGACCTTGGAGCAGCCGGGCTCGGAGTCTGTGGTTCAGCTACCGGCCTTTGCGAAGACCATGGATCTTGCTGGCCCGTGGCTGCTGGCCATTGATGGCTTGTCCGAGATGCCGCACCTTTGTGCCGAGCTCAGCCGTTGCTCCGTGATGATCGAGAAGCCGCGTGCCTCAGGCCCAGCGATTGTGAAGATCCTTGACTCGCTCCTGAGCCAAACTAGCAGTTTGAAACTGCTCCTAACATCTCGCAAACGAGTGCTGCTTGGCCGACATTTAGTGCGGGGAAGTTTATTGGCGGCTTCTGAGCCTGCTCTCGCGAAATCCTTTTCAATAATATTCATTTCGAGGATCCATTCCTCCCTAGGTTCTCGGATTTCGGTCAAAGGTCGCTGCGGCCCAGCGGCACTGGGTACAGCGGCTTCGCGGCCAGCAAGGCGGGTGCCATTCCGCGAGCGAGGAGAGCGAGCGTGGTGCATGCCGGGGAGTTTGAGACGCCCAACGTAAGGGAGGAAGGGATCGCATTTGTTTCCAACGGGTCTTCTCCAGCCTCATTTTCCCATCAGCCCGGTAGTTTCTGCCCAGGCCGTGGAGCTGTCACTGCAACCGCTGCCGCCGCAGTCGGCAGCGGAGCTCTTTCGCCAGCGAGCCCACAGGCGGGGCACGGGCCGGGGTTATTTCCGATTTAGTGCTGCCACCCGTGGTATTTATGGAAGGTGCCGCCTCCAAACCTCCAACCCAAACAGCCGACCCTACCGCCCATAGGCAAGCTGTTCTGTTCAAAAGCGGATCTTGGCTCATTTTGTACTCCATCATGGTCCGTGGTCACCAAACGTGGCCTGGAACCCTTCAAACGAACAAGGCAAAGCCGAGCCAAACCGCTCAAAGGGCCGAGACCAGCCGCTCTCCGCGCCGAGGGAGTTCTGCACCGCGGACTTCGACGCGTTGGCCAAGGCGGTGCCGGCGGAGGCGCTGCAGATCCTGCAGCACGGGCCCACCCTGCTGGAGAGGCAGGCCGTTTCGCCGGAGGGACTCAAGGGACTCAAGGGATGTCCATTTGCGATTTCTCTACAAGAAACCACCAAACGTTCCCACTGGAAAAGCCACGGAATTCTGAACATGGCTTGGGGCCGCATCAGCTCCGGTCAAGATTCCCTTGCTTGAGAGCGTTCGGCAGCTCGTCACAAGGGAGTTCAGCTTGCAGAAATATTAACAGATCTGTGTTAGTTGGCTTCCTGGACCTTTGTGGCGGGCTTTCCTTGTTTTTCAATGTGTGCATGTCACATGTTTGAAATTTCAAGTTTGATGTTTGGGCACTTAAACCGCTTTTCACAATAGCTCTACATTCGTGTGCTACCATATTGCCAGCCTTTACTTTGATCATTGAGCACAATCTAAGAACTAAGAACATTGCCAAACAATGTGCTATTGCCTGCCTTGACTGAAGAATGCTATTACCTTCACTCTGAAGTGCAAAGACAATTTTGCGGGACTATTCCCGAACGATCCAGGCTTGCAGCGGTATTCTTACCGCATGCTGGCAGAACGTATTTGAAAGTTGCACAAATTCAACCATAGTGCCAGGAACATCTTTTTGGCAAGCTGTACCAAGTCTAGACGAGATACGTTTAGTAACCGACCTCCCAAGATGGACACTCCCCGAACCAAAAGCAGCTCGCGATATCGGGAAAGCAATCCACGCACGGCAAGAACAAAAGAGCCTGAGGACGTGTCTGGGTTGACCTTTTGCTGTTTCAGCACAATTTGTTGTTACTTCTGCCGTTGTTGCTTTTCAAATTCTGGTGATCAGTTTGACTTCTGCATGTTTCAGCAGTTTTTCTGCTTTTGCGCATTGCCTTCAAACATTCCCTTCAAAATCCAAACACCTTTGGCAAACGGGCCAGCTGCAGTTTCCTATATTTTCCCGCAGCTTGTTGCGAACTACCCGAGGCTGGCTGCTAGCCCCCTGCTTCATGCGCTTGGAGGCTGGGCTAGACAGCACGGCCGGCCAATTTGTATGTAGGAGCTGTCTCAAACTCCTTGTAGTTTGATGTTCGAAAAGGCTACCCCCATCTTGACGCGGATCCACGTCATGTGCAAAGGGGGGGCACCCAATTTTGGACGCCTCTTTGAACACTTGCCAGGCATCCCGGGCAGAATCGTAGAAGCCGCCGACCGGGTGGACAGCAGCCTCGCATCCCTACTGCAGCACCCGATGGTGCCTTCGGAATGGACTCAGCACTCCGGCGGCGGCTCGGTGAAAATCCAGATCCAACTTGACGCCCAGACTCCCTTTCAAGCCCCCATTCATTCACCAGCAAGCCCTTTGTTTTCAGGGAAAGCACCCTTCCCAACACCTGTGGTGTTTGAAAGGAAACCGTTGGCCTACGGACCTACGGTTCAAGCTGTGATTTAGGCGCCGGTGAAGTTGGAAGGGTTGGAGTCACACACGTTCCCGCACACAAGTGATGTGGTGTTGCATTGCTAGGTGGGCCCGAGCCAAGGTGATCTGCCAGCCCTTGAGCCTTCACCCTGAGCGGGGCTAAGGGCCCTGAGGCGACGAGGAGTTCCCGGATGGACGTCACAGCACTTCGGCGCTTGCGACGGCAAGACAAAGGAAGAACCAGAAGATTGCCGAGCACCCCTACCCACACCCACGCTCGTGAAGCTCGAAGGAGATGGCCTCAGGTCAAGCAGATGTTGCTCCAAGACGTTTGGTGAAAAGTCGCGAAAAGTCGCGAACCTGTAACATTGTGACAGCTCGCCAGGATGCCATCCGAGCTTGGCAACATTTCTGACAAGTAACTTAATCAGCAAAAAACAACCACTTAGGTGTTTGCACTGTGCTGCCGCGGCTTTTCAGAGTCAGACCTCGCAAGGAAGGGGCGCAAGTGGTGTGGGCAAATAAATACAGGGACACGCCCTTACCCTTGAACTGAGATGATGGAGTCTATTGCTCTCGGACGCTCCAAGACCAAGCCAGCTAGAATGGATCCTCCAGCAACCGCAGTCCTAATACGGCGCCATGGCAGTTGCAGGGGCGGATGTTCTGGATGACCTCTTCATATGGGCTGTCACAACACCATCCGACCCTTTGAAGGCGGGTGGCTAGACAAAACGAGTCGTCACTGTACTCAGAATGCCAAAGGGAAGATCTCAGAGCAGACATCCGGTCTGCCAGGAGTCTGCCGGATTGGGGTGTGCCTGTTTCCTGTCCCATGGCAGGACCCACAGATGCCATCCTCGGCTGAATTAGATGCCATGTTTCAAGCGCTCCTTGGCTGCAAGCACTGACAGGGAGTCTTGGGATGTTGCATTGAAAGAAACTCACTGAAGCAGTTGCTCGGAAGATTGTGTGGGGTTCTCTTCCCGTGAAGCATATCTGAACAAACACAATACCATGCAGACTGATCAGCCAGCAGTGCAGACAAGGAACTTGATGACCTTAACGTCGGCCTGCGCTCAAAGCCGTGAAGACAAGCTGAAGCTGGTAGCTCGTGCTGCAGCCACGAGATTTATCGAGCGATTGTCAGCGGAGTGGCGTTGCATGACGAAACCTCGCTCGTAGGAGTTCCTCTCATCATGAAGTGAAGGAACAGTCTTGGCAAGGCGAGGAGGTGCAGATCTATCAGCAGAAAAGGCCGGGTGAAGTTGGGCACTACCAAAGCAGAAAATGCACAAGTCTCTCACGGTCCGGTTAACACAGCTGCAAAGGCTTATTGCACTTTCAGGTTGCAGTTTGCCAAGAGAAGAGGGGGGTTGACCCCTCAACTATGGCCACTACCAAATTCACTTCATTTTGTAGAATGGCTTCCCCGTGCTCTTGTCTTTGGAGGTGTTGGATCTGCATTCTGCACCCTGGGCTCAGTTGCCTCCCTACCAGGTGATCTGGAAATGCTGGCCAGGCCGGGCCGCTGACAGTGCTGTGGACGGTGGCAAAGATGCAGACACATACAAATGTTTGCAGACACACAAACAACAAACACTCGCGGCAGGACGCGCTTTTTCGCTGCGGGGCACCACGATGGCATTCATGCACGTGTTGATGGCATTGTCCTGCCAGTGGGCCAGTGGGCGCCCGTGGCTGCAGTGGAAGACGCCACGCAGAGTTAGGTCTTAGTGGAGGTAGCAACTCGTAAAGTATTGGCATTATTTTGATTACCAGCCAGGTTGCATGTGTGCGGTGCTTTTTGACCTGCGCGTGACTTAAGTAGCCACTGCTTCGCAACTTCGCGCAGTCAAGCTACCCGGAGTTGCCGTTTCTTGGCGCCGACGGCTCGAGATTTCTCCGAATCAAATTGTGGGCCCTCGAAGATCAGGTGGGTGCCTCCCGTGGCATTGCGGTATATGCCGATGCTGCTGCGGCTCGCCGGTCGCTGGCTAGGCTCGCGCTGATTTGGCATGGAAGGGTTGGCTCGCGTAAAGTTGTTTGTTGAAGCCCGTGCTCAAGTGGCATGGACAGCTGCCCATTTGCAGATTGTGTGTGTCTGTGTGTCTGTGTGTAGGCGTTTGTGTGTGTGTGGGTGGGTGGGCGGGCGGGCGGGCGGGCGGGCGGGTGGCTGGGTGGGTGGGTGGGTGGGTGGGTGGGTGCCGAGCATCAGATCTACCCTGACGCCAACTTTTGCAGGGGGCATTAGGGAGACCACTGTCCTACTTCCAACGAAGACGGCTGTGGAATCTCCGTGAAGCGGCCAAAACCGTGCACCTGCAAAACTATGATGCAAAGTCCATTTGGCCCCTGGTTTATCCCTCTGTGTGTGCTTCTTGTTTGATTTGGTAACGGTGTCGATCCTGGAGATTCCACTTCGACTCGAAATAACATGGCATGAATCCATTTCCCCAATCGACACATTGACTCGAATTCAATTGACATCCTTTTTGTGGAGTCGAAGTGTGTGTGTGTGTGTTTTTGGTTTTCAAGCTGCCCTTTCAAGCCGAATGCCTGGCAGATAGGACCCAAAGGAATGCAGCTGGATGTGCCTGCGAGTTTGTGTCCCAATTTCAAAGGATGGACCAGCAAAAGTTTGAAAAAGCCGCAAGGGAAGGATGCCCTTGTCTGCAGTCATTGACCATTAGTAACGGGGCAGCCATATGAGCAGGCCATACTGTCTGCACGCACCGAACATGCAGGACGCACCTTGTTGGCGGAACTCCATCCCGTAGCGTGCTGCTGGAGGTTTCTTGTGACTCGATCGCACTCTAGACTCTAGAGCCGTGCTGGGTATGTCATGGCGACCTGATTGCTGGAAGGTTCCTTTCTGGGGGATTTTCTGCCAGGAGGGTGATGCATATCGTACCCAGATTCTTGTCTTATCACACTTGTCAAGGCAAAAGCAGCACTCAGCAGCGCACTTGGATGCAATGGGCTCTAATGAGCAACACATACGAGCAGGTGCATCAATCATTGGTTGGGGGTACTACTGACTCCTGGATGTTTTTGCGTTTTGCAGATGCTGACCTCTGTTTGAGGGAACCTTGCACAGAAGACATGGGGCAGTATTGTACATTCTCCTGAAGTGGCGGCCAACGAAGGGATGGACAAAGGGAGTGAAGTGGAGGAAAGTTGTGCGTGTTACTAAGATAGCGGTGATGCGCCTAGTCGCCAAGCACCAATCCACTCTACAATAATCATCCATGCAAAACCAAGCCAAACTGAGGCTGCATTTGACGGGGTACTGCATATTTTCTCAGCCATGATGGATGTTTCTGTTTAAATGAGAGTATGCAGTTCGCCTCTGCTGTTAGTCACTGAGTATAAATCATGCAACTGGACTCAGGTCTTTCTGTTGCCGGATTGCTTGCTTTGGCTTTATGTGTTTCCGAGAAATGGAATGTTATTCGGCAAGTTGAGCTTTGTGTTGTACTGTCAACCTTGTCCTGATTAAGCATCTTAATTCAGCAGGGATACGCCGGAGAGTGGTACTGATTATGACAAGAACATAACTATATCAGAGTCTATTCCTAACAGCGTCCAATTATCAAAAACAACATCCACATAACACTGAAACAACTCAATGAACAAAACCGACACTGAGAAGCAGATGGTGATTGAATGCTGCCTCACTGAACTGGGAGCGCTCTTATTTGGCACCGGCACCTCAAGCTTTTTCGCACGTCTTACAAACGGTCCACTGACGTGCGGGGCTCGGTCCATCTACTTTGGTCCGGCGATATGAACCAGGGCCTTCATTTGAGGAAAGGTTTGGCAGCGGTTTTGTTCCGTTCATTCAGACCATTTCAAGATCCGCTGTTTCACAGGACTAGGAGCAGAGAGGAACATTCGTATTGATTTGATGACCTTAATTAAGTCTTGAATCTCAACCTTGGCGTTGCTCCACGCACAACTGTTTGCTTCAGCCGTGATCTTTCTTGGCCATGAAACGAGGGTCGGGAGGAGGCGCGCGGATGTTGGGAGTGTGCCGCCGGCCACTTGTGAAGGTCGCGGGATGCCCACCGTGGTGGATGCGGCAAGCTGGAAGCTCCGGTTTCCTGAAGTCTGCCTGCGCGAGGCGGGCGAGACTTGCGTCTGGATCTTTGCCAGTTTCGCCGGCGCCAAGGAGAAGGGCCGGCGCAAAGAGCATTGGGGAGCCCTGGGCGTCCATGGCTGAGGGGCTCTGGGGGCTTGGCTGATGCCCAGCCGAGTTGATGGTGCTCAGGAAGGGGTTTGGTTGATTGCTTGGTGCTTAGGAAGGGGTCTGTTCTTTGCCATTGGTGTCGTGTTGGTTTTGGGAAAGGAAGTGGGCGGGGAGCAGCGCAGCCCCAGGTCCGAGAGTGGACAGCTGGCGATGAATCGCGGCAAAGCGACCTTGCAAAGCGAAGCGCCCTGCTCCGTGAACGTTTCTCCCCGAGCTTCGAAGTGTCCTGTTCCCTGTGAGCCAATGCACACGTTTGCACAAAGCTTGCAGATGTGAGCTATTGCAGCTATTGTTTTGGCTAATGCTCCATAGTGTCGTGGCAAAACAGCTGCAGCCAATGTTTGTGACATTGTGAGGTTGGATGCACTATGCAGCTTTGTTCCACGCCATGCTGCAATACATTGCTGCCTTTAAACAGAAACAAGGGACGTGCCTGATGGAGGCATACACAAGGGATCCCCGCTCTCATTGTCCAGCTGACTCGCCTTGTCGCACCCGCTGCTGACCTTCGGCTCAGTTTGGTGTTTGGTGGTGTTGTACGCGAACGCGTTCGGGACCGATCCTGAAACCCTTTCGGCTTGAGCTTTGGTCCGGTGCCTAGGGCTGCAGATTAAGAGCATGCGCGGTGGTTTGGCAAGGGTTCCCATCGTCCTACACCAGTTGTTTCTTCTGGTCTTTCCGAACACTTGACCTGGAGTGGAAGGTACCCTCGCAAAGGGGAGTTGTTGGCACCAAAGAGCGCATGAGAGAGAGAGAGAGAGAGAGGGGGGGGGATGTTGTTGAGTCCTTGGCTTGCGTGGCCTTCCTGCGGCTCAATAGCATGAGACGAACTCGTAGTCCCAAATGGAGCTCGTTGTGTGTGGACGTGACTCAATCGTTGGGCATTGCCGCACCGCACCCTTTGTAACAAAAATCAAGACCAGCCCCACAAGCTTTCACGCGTTTTGTTTTTGATCCAAACCGTGTCGTTGTTAGGGGCACACAGCTCCCCATTTTGCGCGGCATTCGCAGCAATGGAAGGAGCAGCAAGGATGATTGCGGTGCCAGATGCTTCGCCAGAGGAGCGATGGATCCAGGCGTGGAATCTGCACATCCAAATAATACCACAGAGCGCCCTATTGTGAGGGGCTTTACTGGCTTGACTGGGATTCGAGAGCTTCTCATTGGCTCCATACGTTCAATTAGCGAATGCTACCTTTCCTGCGAACTCCGAAGCCTTCCCCATTCCTGCCACGAGCTCGAGTATGGCCTTAAGCTTGTTCTCCCTGTGATGTTCACCCACCCAGGCCGTTCCCTGCACCACACACCGCTTCCTCTTGTTTGGGCAATTGAAGAGATTGCAACAGGCAAGGGACTTTGCATTCCTGCCAAGCACCTTTGACACAGAAACCAAGTATATACCATGGGTTACCATGGGGTAACCAGGTCTGAAACGAGATATGCTACAAGGAAACCACCCCTGGCACCCGAGGGATACATGGTCAAAACGTTCCTTGCCTTCAGGTGATAGGGCCTATAGGGATGGTCATGTACCCTTCAAAAAGCCCCTGCAAAGGTAATTCCAAGCAGCGACCGCATGAGTGACCATGGCGTACGTAGTGCACATGGCTGGCCATTTTTGGGTTTGGACATGTCTTTTGTGAGGCGCTATGGACTGGGGGAACCAACCTTGCGCTGCTGCCCGCCATTGTGCTAACGGGTCAGTTGGACATGTACTTCGAGAGCGTGGTATGTTGCTGGGCGTAGACACTGAGTGCTGGCTCTCAAAGCCTCGGTTGGCAAAGACCAGTTGCTTTTTGGTGGCTGGGCTTTTGATTGTAAGACCACGGCTCCCAGCAACTCTCAGCCTCGAGAGTGTATTTGCTGTCACTGCAAGATACTGCAAGCAGCTGGTGAATCAGGTTCTTTCGCCCTGTTCACCTCCAGTATGTACCACGTGTGCCAGAGCCTCCGCTGCAGATGTCTAGGCCATTGGCTGTCCGTGGAGATGTCCGATTTCTGTAGCTGGTTTGGGTTTCAAGCCATCCAAAAGGCATCTGACTCTGTTGTCCGTGTCCTGGAGGTTTTAATTCTGGCAGATGGCATCACATGGACAATGTTTTTGCAGCAGCCTCAGCTTTCCAAGGCCCCGCTCATTTCCGTTCCCTCGCTCGAGGCAATCACTGGATTGCTCGTGAGCATTGTGAACTTCTCCCAGGCAGGTGCAAAGGAGGGAAGGTCTTCTGTGCAAAGCGAGGGAAGGTAATGAAGTCCTTTTACACGCCATTGCAGATGCTGAGGGAAGCTTTGGGGATTCGCGCAGGCTGATGGTTGTTGCATGACCCTGAATGGCTGTTCGGGGTGCTGGAAACAAAAACACTTGCTGCATGTCCAGCTTTGTCATCGGGTATTACTTTTGAGAAGAGCAACGCCGACCGTGGGCGGAGCGGAGGGGCCAAACACAGCCCAAGGCTTTTCATCCAAAGCCTAAGCCTGACATAAGACTTGGACCTCACGGGCCATTCGACACCACTTGCGTGGCTGTTCCAGTTGGATTGCTATCTATCCGGCTCATGACAAGGATCCCGCCAAACATTGTTTTTGGGAAGCTGTGCCTATGCCCCACCTGGTTGCTGATGCGGCTGTTTTGAAGGGGTTCTGGCTTCAAACGAGGGCTTTCATAAAACCCAAGGATTTGAGCTGAGGTCTTAACAGCCGAAGCCCTCCTTCAGTTTAACTCAAAGAGAAATATCAAAAGAAGAGGCTTTGATGCAACCTCAGCTGATGCAGAGGCAGTTTCGCCATGAGGTCCCGAGGCCTTCCTCCTGGCGGGAACTGCGGACGCTCGGCAGAACGTGAAGCCAAGTAGCACCTGTCCAACTCTCCGAGTTGTGTCAACTTGGTAAAATGCTTTGCAGTAACTGCTGAGAATGCTTTAGCTAGAAGTCCTGATGGATCTTAGGCCAGATGGTGTGCTTTGGTTCGGATCGTCAGATATATAATGTGTCTGTTGCTTTTCCCTGCCCCACTTGCGCAGACTGCACAGGTTCCGATTTGCCCAGCACAGAACCAGGGGACTAACTCAAATGGCGATTGCAGTGAGGAACACACTGGTGGTCAGCATTGTGATCTGCGCTCAGATCTCATCTCCCTGGGACTTGATGCACAGCATCGGTCCTTTGGCCACTGGACTGGTAGAGTTGGGTTGGCACAATTCCCCCCATTTTTGGGTTGTCATCCCCTTTACTGAACCACACAAAGGAATTGTGCCATCTACCTTCACCTTGGTGTGAGGCGATGCGGAATGTGGACCATTGTTGACCTGCATCCCCCATTAATCACACACCACATGTGGAAGTTGCAACAGTTGCAATTGAGCGAAGGCAGTGGGAGTCGTCCTCATGTTTCTTGAGATGATCTACCTGCGAAGGCCTGGCGGTTCGTCCATCTCACATGCCAGTGGCAAGCGCCACATTGCTTCAGGTTGCCGACCCTCTGCAAGGCCGACCTTGTGAAGGAGGGGTTGGTGCAGGAGGATCGTGTATGCATATTTAAATAAATGTGTATAATATATATATATATACACTAATATTATATTGTATTACATTATAATGTATTATTATACTATAGGACAATACATGAGAATCTTATTATATTGCATTATATTGTATTATATTGTATTGTCTTGTATTATTACATTATATTATATTATATTACATTATATTATTAAATCTTATTGATATAGACAATGTACACACTACATGATCCAGCATTCAACCCCCCTCCCTCCCAGTGGTTATGGTCAGCATCATCGCCCAGACTCCATGGTCCCGTGGTCCTGTGGAGGGGTTGGCGTCTACAAGGAAGATGCTTGCCCAGACATTGGCCGGTGTTCTTCAGTCAGTGATCGGTCGACGTATATGACATGTCTCTACAGGGTTGGTTTGGGGGGGGGGAGGTTAGGGTCGGTTTAGGGTTTGTTTAGGGTTTGTTTAGGTTTGTTGCGGGTTCGTTTTTTGTTTGTTTGTTTGTTTGTTTGTTTGTTTGTTTGTGAGAGAGATTATCCGTGACGTTCGTGCGTGCGTGCGTGCGTGCGTTTGTGCGTGCGTGCGTGCGTGCATGTGTGTGCGTGTGTGTGTGTGTGGGCGCGGGCGTGCGCGAAATAATTTCATTTTTTTTTGTGTTCTTCACTCTTGTGGCAAGTCGGGCGTGATAAGTTGGCATGCTGGTTGCATGCAATGCACGATTCACACCTTCATGAATAAGCATATTGGCAAATAGGGTATGGTGCCTGCATGCCAGACATGGTCTATGTGGTGTGCGCGTAGACACCAGAAGCACTCATACAATCCTTCTCTGCGATTTGGAGTCGAGAGTTGAGTGAGGTGGTGCGTCACCCCCAGGCCGCGCTGTGCGCTTGTGGAGGTGGCCTGTGTTTCTACAAAGGCCTCGACCAGTTCGAAGAATCTCAGCTGGCACTCGAAGGTCAAGCTTGCCACTGTAGGGTTCTTGGGGTCCTTGGTCTCTTTTGACAGATGGCATGTGCTCGTGGCTTGGCGCACCGGCAAGATCCTTCGCGGAATCTAAGGACTGGCTCAGACTCTGGCACGGGGGGTGGCACATCTTTGTGGGCGCCATGTTGTACTACTGTGCCAGGGCCTCTCCAGTCGCGAAGGGAGGGGGGGGAAGGAGATGTTAGCCTGCCCGATCTGAGGTGAGGGCCCAAAACCCACGGACCCGAGTGGCGGCAAAGGACGCCTGAGCAATGGGAGGAAAAGGCCGCTGGGGAGTACGGTTCCCCTCACGGCACTGCCTCTGGCTAGATAGTTAAGCACACATTTACCTGAGACACACCAAGCAGCCTCCAAGGCGGCATCCCCTCAGAAGCCCGAGCCGTTCCGATGCTGGGTTTCGCGCTCCAAGGTCAAAATGATCCCCGCAAAGGTCTTCCTAGGCACAGATGGGGCTCTGCATCGCCCAATGCTCAGTTGATGCTCAGGCAGCAGTCAACATTCATTGCTCTCCCACCTGCCCGCAGCGTTGATTTGGCGAGCACGTCCCACTTGTTACGCTCTGACAACTTTGTCATTACAACACTTTGACTCTTGCTCCAAACACCACTCTCCTTACCTAATCTCCAGCAGATAATCGGACCTTACTCGGCCGCTTTAGGCGCTAGCGTCAATTGCAATTGGGGGCTCCTTTTGGCCCCTTGAACATAGGAATGCTGCCCCTTGTTCGTTACCATCTTGGATTCCTTCGGTAGGACACATCACCCCATGGGAAACACGAAGCGAATGTGGGGATCCGAGGTCAAGCGGCTCAGCAGGCGGGCGGTCGGCCCCATGCAATCTACCGACGAAACAATGGCGCCCGTTGGACGTTGGCTGACCCCCTCCCTGTTTGGAAGAATCCTTCTGTGAAATCTGACGAACGGTCCCTGATTTGAGAAGTGCCACCTTTCAGGACCTCGTCTTTCTGTCCCAAAGTCTCAAAGGCTCCGAGGCAAACTGCGTGGATGTTGATGTGGCCTTTGGGACTCTTCGACAAGCAAACGACTGCAAGCTGTTGGGCCTCGAACCTGAGACGGACAGGCTATGGGCACAGCGCCCAGCCCCTATTTCAACATCCCACCGCAGCCCGGCGGAAGCGGCGTGTCACATGGCGCAACACCCCAAAAGGGCTTGTTCAGAGCCCGGAAGCTCTTAGTCTTGCTGGCCACTGGTGTGCGCGTGTGCTTGTGTGTGTGTGTGAGTGATATGTGACAAACCAGGGAAATCCTTCAGGAAGCTGTTTTACAGACCCGCCAATGTGGAGGCCCCCCTCTGTTTTAACATTCAGCCTTTGATTGATAGGTGCCCAAAGAAATGGGTTGCGAAGCTGTGCTCCCAAGGCTTTCTCTTGCCAGCCATGAAATACTTCTGCAGCACTTGGCTATTGGGAAGCATTGGAACTGCTGCTCGAAGGGCTCATGCTCTCAGCGTTACTTGTTCGTGTCAGGGGAGTGCATGGAGTCAGCCAGCTAGCTTTTGCTTTGGGGTAGGCATACTCCCGCATTACACATTAGGATTGATGAAACCAGCTCTAGAGCTTCCTTGGGTTGAATCTTCAATCCTAGAGCAATTGCCAGCCAGCCAGCCGTCTGCATGTCACCGAATTTGCCCGAGGCAATCGCTGCCGTGTGATGGAGGCTTGCCATCTGGCAACCATCAATGGGCCGGAGGCGTAGCTGTGCTGAGGGCCTGCGTCCACTTTCAGTTGGGTGCAGATGCGTTTGAGATGGCCAGCAACAAGGGCGGCTCACATCTCTGGAGGGTTCTCAAGAACAGGCGAAAGTTGCCTACAGAAAGAGCCAGAGGAGTGAGCCCCACGTGACCCATCGGAACATGACCGTTCCTGGAGCTGAGGTCAAGACTGTCATGGAGGCAGCACCGTTCCTGGACGAGCAGGGAATCTTTCAGGCAGGGGAATAGCTGGGAAGTTCCGCACGTGGGTGTACACGCCTACTTCTGAACTTCAGGCCAGGCCGCTTCTGGAAGCCCGCAGTGTTGCAATCGCTTCCTGCCTCGTAGCTTCCAAGTTCGCCATGTTTGAAAGATTTTAATTACAACACTCCCACTCCACTGCTTCTTCCCAAGTCCTTGTTCTCAAGACTGTTTGGCTGCAGCTGCCAGGCTCTTGGCATTCTGGATGAAGCACTGACCAGCGCCAAGGGCCCAGTTTTGTGACCTGACACCCGGCGGCAGGCCTTGCAGGTGGTGCCAAGAGGGAGAGAGTGTCAACCGACTGCTGACTGCTTCAGTTGAAAGGCCATGCTGGAAGATGCGCGCAGAAAACCTCACCTAGCCAGAGCTCAACACCAGCGAGCGAGCAGCCTGCCAGCAAGCCACAAGCCAGCAAGCCAGCAATCCAGCCAGCCATCCAGCCAGCAAACCCAGCCCAGCCCAGCCCAGCCCAGCCCAGCCCAGCCCAGCCCAGCCCAGCCCAGCCCAGCCCAGCCCAGCCCAGCCAGCCACAGCCAACCAGCGAGCGAGCGAGCGAGCAAGCAAGCAAGCGTTCACTCATGCACACAGGCAAGCAACAAGAATGAAAGCAATCAAACCATCTATTGGTCGACCCATCAACCCATCAACCCATCAACGTAACCCATTGACCATGCAAACCAATCAAGCAATCAAAGCAATCAAAGCAATCAAAGCAATCAAAGCAATCAAAGCAATCAAAGCAATCAAGCAATCAAGCGGCAAGCAAGCAGCAAGCAAGCAGCAAGCAAGAGCAAGAAAGCAGCAAGCAAGCAGCAAGCAAGCAGCAAGCAAGCAGCAAGCAAGCAGCAAGCAAGCAGCAATCGGACAATCGGAGCAGTCAAGCACTCAAGGGCTCGAGCACCGCAAGCACGCGCAAGTTGGCGGACAAGCAAGCTCTTGCTGGCCAATGCTTGGATGAAGAACCAGCAGGCAAAATGCAAATGTAGATGCGAAATGAGAACATGGAGTCCGGACCGGAGTCTGTGCAAAGCCTTTGGGCTGCAATTGAGGTTCGTCATAAGAAAGTCATCGATGCTTTCGTGGCGAATGCGAACCAGGCCGATCTCCAAGACGGCATGTCAATCATGCCTTCCCGTTGCTGCCTTGGTTCACTCCACTTGTACTGGGCAATGACTCAGTTCGAATGAGCCCTGGGTCAAAGCCCTGCTTGTTGGATGGAGAATTGACGCAGGCCTTGTTCTGGGTTTATGACAACCGTTGGAGAAACCGTTGGTTTCCTTCTGAAAAGCATCCAACATTCGACGACTTTGAAGAAGCGCTGGAGGCAGGAGTTGAAGCTAGTGTGTGTGTGTGTGGGTGTTGGGCCTGTTTGTGACAATCGCAGTTGCCTGAATAGAGTCCGGAAACTGCTTGTTTGTTCAGCGCTATTTCGTCCTGCAGATGTCAGACAGTATCGTTATTTTGCTGCCCATTGGAGCTTTTTTTCAGAGTTTGCCCAAGCTGACATTTTTTTGCACAGGTTTGCGTGGCAGGTTTGCGCGCTGTTGGAAGACCTCGCAAGTTGTGAGCTTGTGCAGTTGTTTTCTCAGGATTGTGATCAAAATACAAACTTACTCCTGTCACAACAGAAGACAGCCCGAGCGGAGAAGATCCTAGAGCTGAGAAGCCTGCGAATGACTCATAAGTGGTGTTTTTGTTGTTCTGGCATTTTTTTAAAGGCCTTGGCTTTCCACTCGAAAACAAGCCAATGGCTTGCCCACCCTACCCCAACCATAAACCCACAAACCAACCTTAACAAACAGCAAACAAGTCACCCTCCACCCCCAAGCGAGCCCTAACACCCGCCGAGACCTACCCTTAAGTAAGCCTAAACTAATCCCGACACACACACACAAACAAACAAACAAACAAACAGAAAAGCAAGCAAGCAAGCAAGCAAGCGAACGAGCGAGCGAGCGAACGAACGAACAAACAAACAACCAACCAAACAAACAGAAACAAGCAAACAAACAGACAGATAGACAGACAGACAATCAAACAAACAAACAAACAAACAAACAAACAAACAAAAACAAACAAACAAAACAAACACACACAAACAAACAAACCAACAAACAAACACACAAACACACAAGCGCACGAACACACAAACACACAAACAAACGAACGAATGAATTGACAAACAAACGAACACACAAACAAACAACCAACCAACCAACCAAGCAAGCAAGCAAGCAAGCAAGCAAACAAACAACACACAAGCAAACAAACATACAAGTAAGCGAGCAAGCAAGAAAGAAATCAATCAAGCATACAAGCAAGCAAACGAAGGAACAAACGAAGGAACGAACAAGAACGAACAAACTTGCAAGCAAGCAAGCAAGCAAGCAAGCAAGCAAGCAAGCAAGCAAGCAAGCAAGCAAGCAAGCAAGCAAGCAAGCAAGCAAGCAAGCAGCAGCAGCAGCAGCAGCAAGCAGCGAGCGAGCAAGCAAGCAAGCAAGCAAGCAAGCAAGCAAGCACGCACAAGCACACACCCACACCCACACCCACACACCCACACACCCACACACCCATACACACACACACACACTCACTCACAGTCAGACACACACACACACACCCACACCCACACACCCACACACCCACACGCACACGCACACGCACACGCGCACGCGCACACGCACGCGCACGCGCACGCGCGCGCGCCACGCGCACGCGCGCACACGCACGCGCACGCGCCGCGCGCACGCGCACGCGCACGCACGCGCACGCACACGGCCACACGCAACACGCACACGCACACGCACGCACACGCACGCGCACACGCGCACACACGCCACGCGCACGCGCACGCGCACGCGCACGCGCACGCGCACGCGCGCCACGCACACGCACGCACACACACGCACGCACCGCACACGCACACGCACCCGCACCCGCACGCGCACGCACGCGCGCACCCGCACCCGCACCCGCGCCCGCACCCGCACCCGCACCCGCACCCGCACCCGCACCCGCACCCGCACCCGCACCCGCACCCGCACCCGCACCCGCACCCGCACCCGCACCCGCACCCGCACCCGCACCCGCACCCGCACCCGCACCCGCACGCGCACGCACACGCACACACGCGCACGCGCGCACGCGCGCACGCACACGCACGCACGCACGCGCACGCACCACACGCACGGCATCGCACGCGCGCGCACGCGCACGCGCACGCGCACGCGCACGCGCACGCACGCACACGCACACACACACACACACACACACACACACACGCACACGC